GCTAACTGTCCAACTAGCTAGCTAGCTAGCTAGCTAGCTAGCTAGCTAGCTAGCTGGTGGGCTGTCGTAGCTCGCTTGCTGGCTGCCTGGTTAGCGACTCATGTGGAAGCTAGGGAGATCTGGCTGGATAGCCAGCTAGCTAGCCATCAGTGACTAGCTAGCTAGCCATTGGTGGCTAGCTAGCTAGCTCTCGAGGCTAGCTAGCGAACGATCAGTGGCTAGCTAGCTAGCCATCAGCGGCTAGCTAGCTCTCAACAGCTCGCTATCTAGAAGTGGCTAGCTAGCCATTGCTGGCCAGCTAGCCATCGATGGCTAGCTAGCCAGCCAGCAATGGCTAGCTAGCCAATGCTGGCTAGCTAGCCAGCAATGGCTAGCTAGCCAGCAAGGGATGCCGAGCCACCGAGGGCTGGCTAGCTATAAAGGCCAGCTAGCCACCAGGGCCAGCTAGCTGTCAGTCGCTAGCTAGCCACTAGTGGCTAGCTAGCTAGCGATAAGGGGGCCAAGGGCTGCCCGAACAATTTGATTTGGGGAGCAGCAGCAGCTGCTGCTGTTGCTGCTGCAGCAGCAGCTGCTGCTGCAGCAGCTGGTGCTGCTTTTGCTGCAGCTGCAGCAGCAGGGCTAACTGCAAGTTTGCTGCATAGGGAGGGCTTTAGTGACTCGCGTTCAGGGTTTAGGATGGAAGGTTTCGATTTTAGGGTTTAGGGTTTAGGGTTTAGGGTTTAGGGTTTAGATGGCGAGGAGGTCGTCCTCGAAGTGCATGAGTATGGTGGGGACATAGGGGGGTGTCTCTTCCTGCGTGGGGTCGTCTGTCTCCTTCCCCGCTGCTGCTGCTGCTGCTGCTGCTGGTTCTGCTGCTGCTGCTGCTGCTGCTGCTGCTGCTGCTGCTGCTGCTGCAGGTGTCTCCTTTTGGGGCTGGGGGAGCAGCAGCCCGTTTGCTGCGGGGGTTTGGGAGAGGTCGAGAGCTGTCCCCTTGAAGGAGAAGCAATAAGCTGCTGCGTGTCTGTTGCTGCTGCTGAGCTGCTGCAGCAAGGAGACAGCGAGGGGCGTGTGGGGCGGCAGCAGCAGCTGCTGCTGCTGCTGCGTCAGCGGACTCAGCAGCTGCAAGGAGACACTTGGAGACAGCAGACACCCCACAACGTAGCGGCGGTCGCGCCACCACGGGGTGTCTGTACACCCCGACCCGGGGACGTGCAGGAAGGGGCGGCTCGGGTGTACGTACACCTCGGCGGCGTCGCTGCGCACTGCAGCAACAGCAGCAGGCAGCAGCACGCTGCTGCTGCTGCTGCTGCTGCTGCTGCTGCTGCTGCTGCAGCAGCAAAACCAGTCCGAAATGTCTCTTCCTGCGTTTTCAATTAAAGGCAGCGCCAGCGCGTTGCGCTGGAGAGACACCAAAGGAGACAGGTCAAACACCAGTCCCCACACGCACACCCAGCAGTTGCTGCTGCTGCAGTGCTGCTGCAGCGCCTCCCGCGTCACCAGCTGCTGCTGCTGCTGCTGCTGCTCCTGCTGCTGCTGCTGCTGCTGCTGCTGCTGCGGCAGGTGCTGCTGCTGTTGCTGCAGCAGCAGAGGGAACGTTCCTGGGGAAATGAGGGGGCAGGACGCTTGGGGCTAGGGTTTAGAGAGGACTGCGATACTGAAAAACCCCAAATTAGGGTTTAGGGTTTAGGGTTTAGGGTCTGAGTTTAAAAAGAAATGAGGCGGCGTCCTACTAACTACGCGCAGAGCCTCGAAGTGCTGCTGCAGCTGCAAGCCCCGGGTGAGGTCACCGCGAGGGTTTAGGGTTTAGGGTTTAGGGTTTAGGGTTTAGGGTTTAGAGTCTGGAAATTCTAAAAGGAAGGAAGTCAGGAATTGCAGAAAATGAAAAGAACTAGGGTTTCGTCGAGGGTTTAGGGCTGGGGGGCTCGGCCTCGAGGTGACCCCGAGGGTTTAGGGTTTAGGGTTTAGGGTTTAGGGTTTGGAGTGTTTTATTGAGCTTCCTTCTCCCTCCTATGCAGCAAGCAAAAAGATGGGAGACTTTGAAAAACAAGTCGCCATCTCGAGGGTTTAGGGTTTAGGGTTTAGGGTTTAGGGTTTAGGGTTTAGGGTTTAGGGTTTAGGGTTTGAGGCGCGGAACTGCAGCCCCGAAGACCACGGGGTCTTTGCCGCAATCCAAAACACAAAAAAGAAAATTGAAATATTTCTTTTTGTGTTTTATTCCGAAAATAAAAAAAGAAATATTTTAAAAGTCAAAAAAAGAAAAGTCGAGAAGCAGCAGCAGCAGCAGCAGCAGCAGCAGCAGCAGCAGCAGCAGCAAGTCCGCAGTTCTGCTGCTGCTGCACTTCTGCTGCTGCACAAAAATGGGAAAAGTAAAATATAAATGTGAGAGTTTGGAGGAGACAGGAGACACTTCAAAGGAGACAGGAGACACTTCAAAAGAGCAGCAAATGCACAAGTGCAGCAGCAAAGACAGCAGCAGCAGCAGCAGCAGCAGCAGCCAAATACTTGCAGCTAAAGTGGAAACAAACAGAATCATAAATTTTCATAGTAATGGTGGCCACACAGCTCCAGCTAGCTCGCTAGCTAGCTAGCTAGCCGACCAGCTAGACGGCCAGTAGCTGTGGAGCTAGCTAGCCATCAAGCTAGCTAGCCAGCTAGCGAGCTAGCTAGCTAGCTAACTAGCTACGTAGTCAGCTAACGAGCTAGCTAGCTAGCTAACTAGCTAACTAGCTACGCAGCTAGCTAGCTAGGTAGCTAGCTAGGTAGCTAGCTAGGTAGCTAGCTATCCGTGTAGCTAGTTAGCCATGTAGCTAGCCAGCTAGCTAGGCATCTAGCTAGCTAGCTAGGGAGCTGGGCTGCCTAGCCATGTAGCTAGCTAGCTAGCCAGGCAGCTAGCTGCCTATGGAGCTAGCCAGCTAGCTAAGTAAAAGGAAACTCAAAAAGCTGGACGACTAGCTAGCCAGCTAGCTAGCTAGCTAGCTAGCTAGCTAGCTGGTTAGCCTGTTAGCTAGCCGGATAAATAGATAGCAGGCACTAAGTAACTGGCTAGCTAGCTAGCTAGGCAGCTCGCTAGCCAGCTAGCTAGCCAGCTAGCTAGCCAGCTAGCTAACTCGCTAGTCGTGGGCTTAGCGGCAGGGCTTAAGAAGACAGAATGTTTTTTAGTAAGTGAAGAAACAAAGAGAGACAAAAAAGGAGACAAAAGGCGACAGAAAAAAATAAAAGAATTTTTAAAAATAAATTAAAAAAGAAAAAGAATTTAAAGAATTGAATTAAAAAAAAAAGAACTTTAAAAATGAAATAAAGACGAAAAAGAATTTAACAAATAAATTAAAAAAAGAAAAAGAACAAAAAATAAAAATTAAGAATTAAAAAATGAAATAAAAAGAAAGAAATATAAAATGAAATAAAAACAAAACAAAAATAAATAAAAAAAAAAATTTTTAAATGAAATAAAAACAAAAATAAATAAAATGAAAAAAATAAAAATAAAAGAAAAGAAAGGAGACACTTCGGAGACAGCAGACAGCGCAGGCTGTACAGACACCCCAGCCCCAAACCCTAAACCCCAAACCCTAAACCCTAGGCCCTACGCCCCAAACCCCAAACCCTAAACCCTAAACCCTAAACCCTCAACTCTAAACCCTTCCTTCAGCTCCTAAAGGAGACAAAAGGAGACAAAGATAACCAGGGAGACAATAAAGAGACAAAAGGAGACAAAAAGAAATAAAAAGAAATAAATAAAAACAAAAAGAAATAAAAAAGAAACAAAAAATAAATAAAGAGACAAAAGGAGACACTAAAGAGACTCTAAAAGACTCTGACTGCAGGCAAGTATATGAGGGCCTGGTGCGGCCTACAGTTGGGCCAAACCCTCGGCTAAACCCTAAACCCTAAATCAGGGTTTGTGCTCTTGCTGCAGGGCCTTTAAAACCCCAATTTTGGCCCGGCTGCTGCTGAGCAAAACAGAAGTTTGTCATCAACGCCAGCAGCAGCAGCAACAACAGCAGCAGCAACAGCAGCAGCAGTAGCAACAGCAGAAGCAGCAGCAGCAGCAGCAGCAACAGCAGCAGAAGCCACTGCAGCAGCAGCAGCAGCAGCAGCAGCAGTAACAGCAACAGGCAGCAGCAACCCAGGCAACTCTGTATACCTGAATCTCAATCCCAAACCCTACACCCCAAGCCCTCGGCTCCACGCCCTAAACCCTAAACCCTAGACCCCAAACCCTAAACCCTAAACCCTAAACCCTAAACCCTAAACCCTAAACCCTAAACCCCAGGTTTGCTGTTTGGGCTCGCTTTGCTGCACCTGCGCAAACAGCTGCCAGGGGGCCCCTGGGGGCCCCAAGTGGAGGCCTGGAGATCAATGGGAAGTTAGGGTTTAGGGTTTAGGGTTTAGGGTTTAGGGTTTAGGGTTTTGGGTTTCAGCAGCTGTTTATTGCAATTAACAATAAGGGCAGGCCACCGAAGTGTCAGTACACTCCACAAATTGCAGCAGCAGCAGCAAGTGTCTCCAGAAATATAAATTTAATTTTAACTTCTTCTATTTTTGCTGGATGACATATGTTTAAGGCCGAG